GGGCCAACGGCACCCCAATGTGTCCCGATATTTTACTGTTGTGATCTGGTCACCCTAAGTGTGACTTTGGTGATCCATGAAGCCTGTGGCTTCTTCTCCAGAGAAACAATAAGGATACTGTTGTCCAGTTTTTCACAAGTTCTCAAAGGGGAGAAGTTCTTTGGACATTCTAACTTCCTCCGAAAGGCCTGTGAGTCAAACCCTACATTTCATGTTTCTGAAATTCCTACAAAAAGCCCCAGATGTTCAACTATCAAATATTTTAATGGGATTCAGCTATTTGTGGAAGCCGACATGATGCTCCATTGATCCTGGAGAGAGACAGATGTTACCTCCAAAAGAAAAAAAAAGCCAGAGCTAAAGTGACACAGAATGTTATGCCCCTGATAGGAGGTAGGTTACCAGGAAACAATAATCACAGAAGTTTTTTCCCCCCATGGCCATACCTGTTTGTTTGTTTGTTTGTTTGTTTGTTTGAAAAAATTATTTGGATGGGATCCAAGGCTCCCGGATTCCTTTCACAGAACATTTTGATTGAATGGTGCATTGTTTATAAAAAGCCTGGAGAACACTGCTGTTCACCCACTGATCACAGTCTTTCTATGAACACTGTGCTCTCTAAAGTTTCCATCATTGCTTCCTTTCAGCATATAACGGAGAGCAGATGTTGTGTGTTTTGCGCTCTCATCAACAAACCTTGGTGCAGTCTGGAATAGACCAAGTTACAACCATTTGTTAGAGAGCATATTCTTGATGGAAAAATGTCAGGAGAGGTGGGCGTTCTGCTGCCCACATCATTTAAACAGATTCATTCTAAGATGAATTTTCTTCCTATCTCTTCCAAGGAAAAACTATGTGCCTTTTTAGACAATAAATAGTTGAAGATTTAGTTTATACAGTTGAGGTCAATGAAGCACAATAGTAGCACTTCAAACCCCCATGCAATTTTGTTTGTCAGCCACGTTACCATGCTGTTTACACAGGTAAACATGGTTAACAGGGATACTCATGTTGTGCAAGAAGGGACAAGTCCTGCTCCTTCTCCGGCAGCCAGGATGCCACTCTGGGGGTTGGGTGAACATCCTATACATGGAGCTCCCCGCACAGCAGCATGCAGTGATGGGAGGGCACAGAAGGCCACAGCTTGGGTGCAGAAAGAATCATGCAAAGGGCTGCGGCAAGGACTCTCGCCATTGAAGTAGAGGAGTCTCCACAAATCAGCTCCCTGATTGCTTTGCAGCCTGTAGGGGAGAGGATTTGTAGTCTCTCCATCCCTCACAATACCTCTGTTTGGCGCCTGGCTCAGCTAATGGGGCCAAGCACTCCGTGTAAGATTCCTCCCACATGCACTTTATAATTTAGAAAAACGGGGGCAGAGATATAAACAACAGGCCAAGTCATCCCTCCCTGCAGTAAAGCAGAGTAAATGAGCATTGCACCGGGGATCTTCAGAGGGGTGGGGTGGATTAAGCCATCCCTCCTGTGGCTGTGGAGCACTAACCAAGCCACTTTTGCAGCTGCTACTTCAGCCCTCCACAGCTGTTTCACTCTCCCATGAGGTGCATGTGAGTGTCTGCGCATGAGTGAGTATCCAGTAGATCAGCAAATTGGCAGATCCACTGGACTCAGCTCCAGCACCCTCATCACATAGCTGCCCAGCGCAGGATTTGCACCAGTGATCTTTAAATACAAGGGAAGGTGTGAAAGATTAAAAATATTATCCTACAGTAAATGGGTTAAACTAAATGAGATACAATTATAGCATTTGTATGGACTAAGGAGGCGTACTGTTGCATCTGCGTGACAACATCATGCCAATTATAGATTTGCAGTTACTTAGGGAAGTTAGTGTACAAATCTAGGATGGGATTTTCAAAAGTAATTAAGGGAGTTAGCTGCCCAATTCCCATTTGAAGTGGATAGATGTTGGGCACTTAAATTCCCATGGGCACTTTTTAAAATACTAGCTCAAATCAAAATAACTCAGTGCACAAATGTAATTCTAAATATCTGTATGTACATCTACTGTATTAGATGGAACACATTTATCAGACAGTATTTCTGTCGTGTACTTGTTCATGGATTGTAGCTCCTAAATAAAGAGTTTTGATGCAATCTATTGCTTACTGCAAATTTTCTGGATATAAAAAAGCAGTAGTTATATTATTAATCAAGAGTCACTCTAGATATGAGTGCATTACAATGGTGGGGGACGCTATTACTATATAATGGAACATGACTTTGTGACATGCCACAGGACCAATCAGGATGAAAGATGCCAGACCTTCAGCTCAAGAGTGAATTTCATTCATAGTAAACAATGCTGACAACTAACTTTTATCTTACAAATGGAGGCTGGGTTATCTACCACAGCTGTTCCAATCAGGATACAGGAATATATTTAATATAATACAGGAAATAAATAGTGGGTAACTGGATTATTCACTAGGTTTAAAATCAAAGTAATGAAACAGTGTGCTCATCAAGTTACTTCTAGCATCATCATAAGAAAAACATTTTTAAGGAATCCAACTTGACCAAATAGTTAACATTCATGATCAGCCTTTTAAACTCACAACAAACTGGAACCTAGAATAGATTGTAAACTCTTCAGGGGAGGGACTGAGTCTTCCTATGCATCTGTGCAGCACCTACCACAACAGGGGCATCCTACAGACAGTACTACCACTTGCCCAAATCTATTTATAGAACTATGGTGTTTGTACTTCGAGAGCAGCAGCAAATAGACCATATATTAGACTCATTTTTCTTTTCTT